ACGTGAGGAAGACAAATACGCCCGCAAGGATTACCAAACATTAGTCAGCAGTAAAGCCAGACGGAACTCAGCACTGCTCAAAGACATTGCCACAAGCTTCACAGAGTGAATCACACAGAGCAAGATGCCTGAAGCATAGAAGACTTCGAGAACAGTTCTTCTGGTAAAGAAATACGTCATCACTGTTATCGTGAATAACCTTTTCTTATTATGCTATCAAAAGTTAACCCCAATCTAATATCACTTATCCGAATTCACAAAACGTAGTCGCACCGTCTCTTTGCTTCTAGAATCCCGGAGGACAGCTTAAGCAGGTCATCACTCCATAATATTTTAGCACCTGCACCGCCAAACTGCGCCATTCTGTTCAATCGAACATTAACTTGTTCGAACATCTACGGGCATACCTCGATGTGTAGGCGTATATAATAAAAATTAGGTTGCTCGGCTCTGCACCTATGCGCTGCTGGTGTCAAAGTACTATGGAGCCCTTGCCTCTTCAAACGGTCCACTAAAATACTGAGAGCAAGGAAACGACACGACCATGCCGTGCCGCGTGAATCCGGAGAATTGTGAGAGGTTTTATTTTTGCCGGTGGCATCAAAAACTAGCAATTTGCTAGTAAACACGCAATTGCATTTTAACATTATTACTGTTATTATTATTAGTTTGTTTTTTCTATTTTGAGTATTTCGATTGTACACCGGTGGTTGTACCGAACGCAGCATAAAACATGGCTTATTCATAGACGACGCAAACGGTTCGGTCAGTCAGATGATTGACTAGTACAAACAGTGTTCCATCTGCTTATTTAATAATTTTCTTTGTATTGCCGCTTTCATTATCTTGGTAGTTTCTACCGTGTGGTCTAAATAAATACCTTTTCAAGACAAAGTTAAGCATATCTTCAGGAAAAATATTAGACCGAGGGATGTTTTAGTTTCTTTGCCTCCGTGTAACATTGCACAAACGGATTGGTTGAAAAACTAATAAAAAAAAATAAATCAAGCCTTTAAGAGATAAAAGTTTCTCACAACTTTAGGCCCAAATGCTGACAATGCTAATGGTATTTGAAAAAAAGGACAGCGTTCGAGAAGGAAAGCAATTGGTCGGACGGCGGTATGTTCTCACCAAAGCGAGTTAAGCCCTACGTAAGTTACTTGACGTTCGACAGCGTCACATGGTTTATTAGTTATCACACGGCAAAATGATACTCCAAAGCTAAAGAAAAGAGATTATGAGTGAAGTGAGTGCGGAACACTTGTCATCGAGTGCCCTTAAAATCAATGAGAAAATCTAACCAAACTCGAGCGAAAACAAAATGCCTCATTTGACATGTAGCCAATCAACCAAAGGGCACGTGATTAACCACTGACAACCTGCCATGACATGCTAATCCGACTAGTCGGATTAGCGAGGGCATAAAATGATGCCGATGACGAGCAGAGGTGCGCTTCGGCAAGTGTCAAGGAATCGCTTAAAGTTTAAATTCGCAGAACACAACTCCTTGCAACTAGTTGGTCAACCGACAAATGCACAGCCGTCACGACCTCGACTTAAAGCATATGGCGAACGACCAGCGGTCGTTCTACTCCGTTTTCGATGGTGCGCCGTTGTTGTGGATCAGAGCCCCCATGGTTGATCCCTCAGCACCACCGATGAGCAAGGCGAAGGTTCGTCCGGAAACGATCATGAAACCCGGTATGTAACGAGAAATGCCAATTAAGACAATAAGATATTCGATATTATGTCTAAAAATTGTTAACCATCATTTTTGGACTACTTCAATCCATCAGAATTGGATGCCACTGAATACATAAAAAAATTCAAATCCATCACAGAATTAAGACCTAACCAAATCCGTCGCTGAGTTTCGACTAGTACAACTCTGAGGCAAGAAAGCAGGAGACAACACGTTGTAGAGCCCATCAAGTGACAGGTGTCACCTTTAAACTGTGGCACTCGTGGATGATGGCAGAGTAGTGGAGGTCAGTGCAGCACCATATACTCCAAAAAAACAGTACTACAAATAATGCAAATGGAAGGGCGATAGATATCCTAAGGGATAGGACACTTGTATCTCGAAAAATCAACGGTTTCATCTGGTCGTTACCCTCAAAGGTTTTTTGGTCGTTATTTCTCTCTTAGTATACAATCAGGCACTCAAACTGTCCTAATTTATCCCTGTTCAGGACACAGACCCCGTGCATTTTTCCTATGAACCTATTCCATCCTTATGATCTTTATTACAGAGTCAATATACTTCGATGCAAATAGCTTCTTGCTCAATTCCACCTCCAATATTCAGGAAAGCTTTCATGTCCATCGTATGTTGAAAACTCTTACTTTCAGGTTCAATGGTTTGAAAATCTTTCGCTTGAAATTGAAGCGTCCAAATATCCATTAAGCCAACTTGCTCTCCTGCTAGCTTCATTGTCTGTTAAGATCATCACCTCGGGCCATTTGCATAATCAGAACGTCTCTAGTTCGTTAGCCGCTGCATTTTCAGCATTCTCACCCGCTTGTGTCGTAGAAAGATCTTGTCTGAACGCTGATCTGCTTCTGTCACATTCATCAATGTATATGCCGCCTCTTGATCGACATCTGCAGCGTTTCAATTCAAATTTGAAAAGTTCAATCACATGGACGAATGACTAATATTCAGAAGTCGTCAGAGACGGCCATTACTAGTTCTCCAAAGAATACTTGTCTGAAAATGAACCGACATGTTATATGATACAGTTATAAATTTTTCATTAGGTATCGAGCATACGTATTTCATAATGGGATCATTTATACAAGGTTTCTCTATACATAAAAACAGAACCCTGCCTCTGCGAACTGATTGCGAATTTTCGATACCGCCAGTATGAGTAACAATCTGTTATCAATTCTCGAGATTTATATGACGTCGTTTCTGTTAGGCCTGCACAGTGATCTAGTTCTGCAGCCACGCACTGCAACTGCTAAGATTCCACGGAGCCGTGACCAACGTAAATGGTCCTCCTCCCCTGTATGACTAGATGCAAGATGATGCGACTACACCGTGTAAATCCAGAGAATTTACAGTACATTGAGATTTTTCTACCATTCTGTCGTCCACAACGATATTTAAGTCCATACAGAGTAATAGGCTAAAATTAGAGGTCATTTATACAGTGAACTCTGGCGCCTTCGTCTGTGCTAAGCAACTCTTCAACAGAATCACATTCAGCTCAGTTTTTAACTCATTCGTCATGTAAAGCGCTTAATGTGTCCTTCTGCACAGTTAATAAAAAATCGTTATTTCATATCCAGATCTGCCATTTATCAAGCACCTCAGACCATAAGTGAATAGCAGACTGGATCACTTACAGCTGACATTTAAGCAAGACTTCACCGTTTATTTCCCCACAGCGGCAAAGCCGCATTATTGCTTAGAACACGTGCAATTCTGATTTTCAGGTTCGTTATCATTTGGAGAATTGAACCAACTTGGGGGATTCTTCGTCAACGGTCGACCACTGCCACTGTCAATGCGGGTACGTATCGTGGAGATGGCTCAGCTGGGTGTCCGGCCGTGCAATATCAGCCGTCTACTACGAGTATCGCACGGATGCGTCAGCAAAATTCTTACCCGGTTCAATGAGACGGGTTCGATTCTGCCTGGTGCCATCGGCGGGAGCAAACCACGCGTAACCACTAAGACCGTCGTGCAGTACATCCGGCTGTTGAAACAACGAGAACCTATGCTGTTCGCATGGGAGATCCGGCAGCGCTTAATCAAAGACAACGTGT